TAGTTGTTTGAAGATGTGCCATTCTCACTGGGGTGAGGTGGTATCTCATTGTGGTTTTAATTTGCATCTCCCTTATTACAAGTGATGTTGAACATTCTTTCACATGCTTGTTGACCATCTGCATTTCTTCTTTGGAGAAGTGTCTTTTTAGCTCTTCTCCCATTTTTTGATGGGGTTGTTTATTTTTGTTAAGTTTCATCAATTCCCTGTATATCTTTGTGATCAATCCTTTATCATCAGTATTGTGTGAGAAAATTTTTTCCCAATCAGGAACACATGAAGTTTTGAGAGAATTTTTAAAACTCAAAGATAAACCACATAGCATAGAAATACGGAAAACAGAATGTGATGAATACAGAAAATTTATGTAGATAATAGTCTAACTTAGAATTTATTATGATAAACGACACATAGATCTATGTTAAAAGGTAAAAATTTATCAAAAGTTACTTATAAACATGCCCATTTGCAGTTGAGAGAAATATAAAGATGCAGCATTAACTAGAGTATATGCTGGACAGCTGTGATCATTTCATAACTTCCTGTTGCTGCCACCGCAGTGAGCTCAGTCTTGGGAATGTTTCCTTGACAGCCCACTGGTACTAACTTCCTCTGGGTGAGCAGTTCACCATTCCAGATGCCCAAGATACTACCATCAGAGAAAATTGATGAGGGCATTGTCAGGTTCTGCCAGCTTATTGCTTACAACTGCGTGTTAATTTACACTTAAAACAAAGTTAAGCAAATATGAACAAGTAGCAGCATCAAAAAAAGTAAAGTAAAAAAAACACCATTTATTCTTTGACCTAATATATCCCTACTGGCATTTCTATGTGCCAGGCACTGTTCTGGACACTGGGAGGCAGAGAAAAACACAGACAGAAATCCCTGCCCTCTGCAGCATGCCTTCAAGTGGTGGTGGGCTTGTCAATTTTCATTCCATTCAGGTTGTTTATAATTCAACTTATTAAATGTTTTATGTTGTAAATACTTACAACATAAAAACTAATTACATATTGTTCACTTCCTCATTTCCAACCCTCAAGCTCGGTTATGTTTCCCTGGCTACTTGACACAGCTCAAAGTATTAATGAATAGCAATCTTCATTCCAAATGGTAAAAAAAGGAGTCATCCTTTCCCTGGGCTCTAGTGTTTAGAACACCAGCAATATATTTTTTTTT